AAAAAATCTAGATCCGAACTGTTTTTTGAAGAATTAAAACTCAAGTTTAAAAACTAGATCTTTATTCTTTTGTTAACTTAATTTTTGAATCTAATCATCTATTGTTTTTTTACAAAAAATCCATTACATCACTAACAAAAAAGTTTTTCAATTTTATTCCTTTTGATTGGCTTTCTTTCAAATTCCCGAAGAATTTTACAATAGCTTTCCACTTCATCAACAAAAAGAAATTTGAACCTTTTAAGGTCTTAATTACATACCTTGTCAATAAGGGGATTTATATAACTGATTATTCTTAAATCAAGTGAAAAAACAAGTCCTAATTTATTTTTCATAAATCTGTCTTTTGATAATACTTTTGTATTTATAGAGTGTCAACTTCTTTTAATTCTTGCCTCTTCTTTGTTTTAACCATAATATATATTATATTAATAATACTTGATCAATTTTTTCGTTACAAGTTCTTAATATGGCTTTATGTATATTAAATCAGTTATAAAAATATTCCTTTTTACTTATAGAAAAGCACAAGTAACTAAGATGTTACCAAGTAATTAAATTGTTATAAAGTTATTTAAACATGTGATTTTTGATGAATTGAAAGGGTTTAATGTTAAATTTATTTTGAATCAGGCTATGTTCTTTTTAAAATTATATTCTTTCGATCCTTAATTAATGTTTTTGATATAGGGATCAGTCTTTCATGAAAACAGGGTAAAATTTTAAAATGTTTTATTGCTGATAACAGGTACTTACAAATCTAATTTATGCAACACGCCAAAATATTTTGTTCATTAAGGGACTAGTCTCTATTAAATTTTTTTAGGTATATTTAATAGAGATTTAGAATTTTTTTTGCCAATTACTTAGATTTGAAATCAAAGTGAAAAATTTCTTTGTATAGTAATGAAATCTCGATAAATGACATTCATTCAATTTAGTTATTGTTTTTATAGAAATAAAAACTTTTTCCTTTTTTTACTTTTTTGAAAGTTGCTTTTTTTCAACTTTTCGCAAAAATACAAAAAATAAAAAAAAATATGAGTAAGAAAGCAAAACCTTGTTGTTTTTGTGTAAGACCTACAAAAAAATAATTTGAAAAATAAACCTGAAAAGGTTTTTTTGGATTTGCATGAAAAAACAGTTTGATTCGAAAAAAATATGCAATATATGCTTTACTCAAAATAAAAGATTTTCTTTCCTTTCTTGTACCATTCTTTTTTTTTTTTCATGAATCTACTTTTTGAGTTTACAATCTTTTTTTTTTTTTGTTGAATTTGAAGTTTTTTTAAGTATTCCCAAATTATCATTCCAAAAGTTTTTGTCAGAGTCAAAAAAAAATGAAAGAAAAGAATAAGAACTATTTTTTTAAAAGTAATTATTGATAAAACAAATTGAGTTCTTTATAGAGTCAAATTGGATGAACAGAAGTGAAAGAGAAAATATTCACTAGCTTTAAATTATTTTTTCGTTTTTCCAAATGAGAAAAAATATTATTATTGAGAAAAAAATTAAATCCAAAATTAATCAAAAAATTCTTATCTATTAAAGATATTTTTTTTAAAACAAATATTTAAAAGTCACTTTTTCTGATAGAATTTTAAAATTCTAAAAAAACAAGAACTCCAAGTTCTAACATTGAAAAAACCTGTCTATTTCTCAATTTTAAACATATTTTAAGATATGGATTCCTTATTTAGTTGTTGATCAAAAAAAAAAAAAATTAATAGTGACTAGTCCCTTCAAGAAACCTGAGAAAAGATATTTTTTTTCAGTTGATATCAAATTTTTTTTTATAATTTTTTTGATAAAAAAGATAACGATAATATCCAATGATTCTGATCGAAAAATATCAGCATTATTTTTGACATTTTTTACTCAAAATTCCCTCGAAAAAAATAACTATTAAATCAATTTTATTTTTGGCAATATTAAATACCTTTACCCTGCTTATGGATATTTACACCATTATTACACTATAAATGTTTTTTATTGCAATAAATATTAATTTAGATAATTTTTTTTCTTTTTTGAGCTCATCCTTTTGTTTAAACAAAAACTTTATTAATTTCGACATATTGAACAATATTAAATCCTATTTCAAAAATTATGACTCACCTGAAATAATAAATTGTATATATATATATATATATATATATATATTCTTTAGTATTCAAGAACAACTAATAATTAAATCCGATTTCATAATTCACTTTTAAATCATTATAAGCATATAAAAACCTGATACTCATATGCACAATGTGATGTCTTAATATTTTAAGTTTTACTAAATTTATCATTTTTCTAAAAACGAAAAAACTTTTCCACAGCACCCCAACGGAAGATGTTTTTTATTAATGAACCTATGATTACTATTAAGCAAAGTAAAAAACAATGTAATGAACGGATAAAAATCTTTTGGTTTTATTTTTTGATTTCTGAAAATTATTATCGATTTTTGAAATATCTATTTCAACCCCAAAAATTTTTATATATTAAATAAATTGGATTTTTTTGTATTTTAAACCAGATGTTTTTTTGACAAGAAACCTATGAATTGTGTGCTCACCCAAAAAAATATAGAGTATTTAATAAAATGATAAATTTGGTAAATAAAACTTAAAATATTAAGACATCACTTTTTGAACATGTGTATTTTAAAAATTAAAAAAAAAATAAAATCAAAAACTAAAAAAAGTTAGTCAAAAATTTTTAAATGAGCTTTATGGGATTTTTTATTACCCAAATTTTACTGAAAAAAGGTTTAAACCGATTTTTTGCTAATACAATCAATTTCATTAGAAAAGTCATTACAAGGTCTCAATTTTAATCACGATTATTAGTCAATTTGAAATTTTTTTTTTTTCCACAAAATCTTTTTACAAAAAAAAAGTATCAAAAAAATAGTAAAAATTAAAAAAATGAAGAAAAAAAAAAAAGAAAGAAAAAGGAAAATTTGAAAAAAAGAAGAAAGAAAAATTTGAAAAAGTATTCATAAAAATTTACAAAATTCAAAATAATATTTTTCTGATCAAAAAATTTGAAAATATTTTTTGATAAAGGATCTGGGATAAAACCCACAAAAAAAAAACCATTTAAATTATAAAGTGAGTAAATAATTTTGAAATAATATTTAGTATTATTAGAATATAAATAGTAAATATAAAAAAATTATCACCTATTTATATTTTTTTACTCTGAAATTGGGTTTTTGTTCTAAGATGAAATTTGTTTTTTCCGTTATAAAAATTTCTTAAAGATATTCGGGAATTGATTTTTTAATACTCAAAATTCAAAACAGTTTTTATTTCAGGCAAAAATATTTTAAATTGTTGCAATATTTCTCGTCAGAAAGGAGAAATGATGTAAAAGAAGTTCTTTTTAATTTTGGAAAGTTATTTTATATTATTTTTTTTTTTTTTGAAAACCAGAAAACAAGTTTTTTAAAACCTTAAAGAATAAATTTTTTTTACTTATCAAATCTGAATATTCATTGATAAAATTTTGTTCAAATTCTCTCAAATTTGGAATTATTTAATCACCTGTACCACTATTAATTTTTTTTTTGTTGATCTTAGATGCTTAATATTTAGAGTTCAAAATACTAACTAACTAATTCTTTTTTTTTTTTGAAAATTAATTTATAACATAACTTGTCCAAAGCAAGGCTGAAATTAATTCAATATCAAATTTTGATGATGATATAGATTTTTAAAACGTTGAAAATGAGAATAAGTAAACTTGCAAGGAAAAAAAAATAATCAAAATAACCTCCTATTCAAGAATTTTTTTTTACTAATTTTTAAAAAAATAAATTAACAGTTATACTAAAATGACATTGTAAATCATAAATTCTCGAAGAAAATATCTAAAAAATTACTCTTAAAAATAATTATTTTTGGACAGATCCTATCCACAAGATTATATTTCATCTATTGTCATTTAATGAAAGGAATATTTCAATATTAGCTTTCTTGGTTGTATATTCATATATTTTATAATAATATATCAATAGCAGAATTTTAGATCAAAAAGATTTGAAGATAACTTGAAACAACTTGTAATAGCCCCTTAATTCAAATTTTTTGAGTAATTGATCATTAATTTGAAAAGTTAGGATGTTATATAACATTTCCTTTGATTTAATTAGATGTCTGAATTACCAGCCTATTATGATTAATGTAATATTCAAAAGTAGTTTTTTATAATTATCATTTAATTCCTCGAGCAATAATATACGCCTTAAAAAGATAATTTTGTTATTGTTATGGTGTAAACGATCGACTTATTCTTTACAATACTCAAGATTTTGAAAGTATTTAAATTCTTGATCGTTTTCAAGTTCTTAAGGTTTACAATCCCTGGAATTTGAAAAAAGATTATCTTGTGTAAGGGGGTGACCATTTGTTAATTTGGTAGGAATTTGATCGTTGTTGTGCTTGGTAGAGGTTTTAAGAGTAGTTCAAAATGGTAAAAATGAATTTATTTGTTTTTTTTCCGAAAACCTAATTGAAGAGTGTAAAATCAATAAATTGGTAGAAGTTTAAGATAATTTTTTATTTTTGGGTTTTAGAAAGTAATTTGGATTTAATATTTAGTCTATTAACTATATGAAAAAAAAAATTTTTTTAAAAGTTACTAATATATCCAAATCTATTTAAAAATTTTGATCAAAAACTCACAACCCACATTTTTTGAAACTTATCTTCTTCCATTCTATTAGTCTTATATTTTTTAATTCGTATTTCGGAAAAATATTTCATAAATGATCAAAAATTGATATTTTGAGCTTTTATTGTACCCCATACCAGGCATGAGATCGATTTTCTAAGATGCGAATTGAATGACCACTAAAACCCGAAATAAAAAAATGTTTTTTGGGATTTCTGTATCTGTTAACCTTATTTTACTTGGATTAAATATTGATTATTTTATTTTTTTCAATAATTTCTTGTAATTGATTTAATAATTTTAAATTGACCTATGTTAATATCTCTTTTGGCAGGATGGCCGAGTGGTTAAGGCGTTTGACTAGAAATCAAATTCCCTCTGGGAGCGCAGGTTCGAATCCTGCTCCTGTCGTTTTTTTAACTTTTTTTTTAAACTAAAAAACATCTAATAAGACAGTTTTATTTAACAATAAATCAAAACAAACAGATCAATAATCTATATTTTTTGATCAAATTTTGTTCATTTTTTTGGAAATTTCCATTGTTTTAAACTAACAAGAAAAAATCAATTTTTTGCAGAATTTTAAAATATAAACAAAAAGTGTCTTGTTATTCTTACTGGTTTTATGTCTTTTTAAATGATTTTGAAAACAACTTTTTTTCAAATGATTATTTTTAAAACTGAAAAAATCGTTTAATAAAAACAAAGCAAAAACAAATTTAGTGAACACAAACCTATTTTTTATTCTATTTTTTTACAAACAATTTACTATCACTCTGAATAACCTCTGTACGATTTTGTTTACCAATTCGATTTGTTGGTTAATTTGGTTATTGATAAAACGAAATAAATAAATTTTTACAAACTAAAAAAAGAAACAATCAAAGTAAAAAAGGAAAACCTGAATGAACAAATAAATTAAAATCTCTATCATCAAATGTCAAAACTAAATTCATTTTCGAATGATGATCTGGCTCCCCTTAAATGAAGATTTACAAATCTTTGAAACAGTCCATTAACTTTCAATAAATTTCTGAATTTTTTCGATCTGAAAACAATAACCAAAACCATAAATCACTAGTCCACCCTTTTGAATAGCCGATTTTTAAAAATCAATCAGCGCACTTTCAAAAAGCGATAATAATCATCAAAAAATTGATAGAAAATCATATCGTTTCAAGAAATTCAAACATTTAAGAAAGTAAACAGATTTTGAGACACACAACCACTGAAAAGTGACTGAAAAAGATTATAATATAATACAAAAAATAAAAACAGTTTGTCCAGAACAAAAATCCCATCCAACAGAAAAGGTTTCAAATTAAAAAGTGATTTTATTTTTCTTAAATTTGTTTTTGATTGTTATTTTTCTTTGTTTCTTAAAATCTCAGAGAATGGAAATTGCAACACCAACATACAAAAACATTGTCACAATAAAACAACTTTTAAAACTTTTTAAAACTTTTAAATCACAATCGCCATTGTTCTATGATCGCTTAGATGTAGTTTATCATTGTCTTTCGCAATTAAAGCCACTTGAAAACGCATCCAAGGCCGACAATGATCTCTTTCAAAATGTTTTAAGTGAGGTTGGGCAGGTCATTGAACGAACAGAAGCCTTTTCCATCAGATTCAAAAACGAAGCCAAAAAAGCAGGTATCATGTTCTCACAATTTGCACCATTGAGCGAGGATCAGAGCGAGCAACTTGAGGAATTTGCAAAAGAGTTTTTTTCTGATAAGGAAAATCTTGAACAAAGAACAACACTAGAAGGCGAATTCCAACACCTGATCCAATTACTTAATTTGCGTATAACAAAGGATTTAGGGATTCAAATGGAAAATGTTCTTGAAAATCAAACACAATTGCTAGAGCATGTCCAATCTATCGACGAGAAAATTGTCGAGCTAACAGACAAAATGGATGACTGGTTTGAGAAAAACCAAGATCTCCTTGAAAAACTCCAAAAACAAATTGCTGTAAATTTTTTATCTTTTTTCTTTTTTTTTTATTTTTTTTTTTTTTCCTTTCTTTCTTTCTCTCAAAAAACACAGTCAAAAAAAAATCAAAAAAAAAAAAAAAAAATTAAAAAAAGCCAAATTCTTCTTTTTATTTTTTCTCCTTTTCAAACAAAAGGAAACAAAGAATTGAATAACCACAAACACCATTGAGAAAGATCAAAAATATTCTTTCTTTTTTTTTTTCTCTGTTGACCCTTATTTTTGTTTTATTGGTGAGCTGCTTTCTTTATTTTTTAACTTTTTGGATTAAAATTGTAATGCAAGAACATCAAAAAAATTTGCGAATTAAGACAATGACAAAGGCTACCATTAAAAATTCAAATTTTTGAACGAAAAATAAACTTTATTTCAAAAAAACAAAACAAGACTACACATGTTCAAAAATGATTTCAAAATTATGATGTTTTTTTGTTAAAATTGTGATATTTTCATTAACTACGATCCTTTTTTCTGTTATAATTCAAGGCTCAAGAAACTTGACAATATATTCAATATTTTAAATGACAACAAATTCCATTTAATAAACCATTGAATATGCTTGGGTTTGTTTGAATTTGAAAAAAGTCTTTTCAATTTTCTCTTGACGTTTCTATTCCAAATTTACTTCCTTTCTTTTTTAAATTGAATAGAGTGTTACTAAATACATCAAAAATATTGTCAAGTTTCCTGACCCTTGAATTATAACAGAAAAAAGGATCATAGTTAATGAAAAAATCCCAATTTTAACAAAAAAACATCATAATTTTGAAATCATTTTTGAACATCACTGGCATGAAAAAATTAAATTGAAAAAAAAAAAGTTATACAAAACTAATACCTTCCTTAATCTTTCATCTTTAATAATAGATTTTATTCATAATAGAATCAAAATTACAGAACTTCAAATTAATGTGGATATTATATTTATTGTTTTCAGTATAACCACGATTTTTAAAAAGTCTCTAGTCTAGAAAAAAAGGTGTTTTTTGGGGGTAAAAATTTTTAAATGGATGTCAAAATGAATTTTCCTCAAATTCAACTTTAGGATATTTTTTTGAAATAGATAATAACTAATGGTTTTGAAAACACCCTACTATTCTAAAAAAACTCAAATACGGAAAAAAAATCCTTATGATAATTATTGAAAGTGTTCGTAGAGTGCTGTCAAGTGCCTAGGTTTTCTTGAGGTTTTCTGTTTATTTGTAAAATCAATAGATTTTCGTTAGGTTTTTTTGAGTTTTCTATTTATCTGTGAAGTTTTCTAGGTTTTTTTGAGGTTTTCTATTTTATTTGGAAAATCAATATTGATTTTCGTTAGGTTTTTTTTACTTTTTGAAATAAACCGAAAATTTATTAAAATTTTCGGTTTATTTCAAAAAGTAAAAAAAACCTAGAACACTTCACAAATAAAACAGAAAACCTCAAAAAAATTTAAAAACAGTTTTTTTAATTTAAGAAATTAAAAAAAAATTCACCGAAAATAGGTGAACTTTCAGCACTGACCCTTTAATTGAAAAAAAAAAAAAAGGAATTAGTTTTTTTTTAATGTTAAATAAATATCAAAACTTAAAAAATCGTAAAATAAAAAAAGCTTCACAGAAAATTTAAAAAAAAAAAAAAAATTGATTAGTTCTCTAAATTGAATTTAAGGAAGTAAGTACATTTTACCATTTTGAAAATTTTTAATTGTGTTAACATTACTGAAAAAATATTTTTTGAGTGCCACCAGATATTGAAACTTTGAAACCAAAACACCATCCACTAGTCTATTTGCGAATGGAATCAAAGTAATTCAGAGTTGAATCTTAATTTTTTCAATTTTTTGAACATTTTTTTTGATTCAATTTTTGGTTTTATTAAATTTGGTTTTGGATCTAGAAATGTGTTTATAGGAATGATCGAAATTAACCAAACAGTAAACCAACAAAATATACCCGAAAGGGTGTGCATTTGAAACAAATATTTTCTTTTAGAAGACCAAACACAAAAGATCACCATTCCAAATAAATTTGTTGAAATCAAGAATGATGAAAAAAAAAAAAATTGATAAAAGCCTATTTTTGAAGATTGGTTTTCTTTATCTTCTTAGTTTGTATGAATACAAAATATTTTTTTCCTTGAATTTCTCATTCCCCATTACTATTTATTATTATTTTAAAAAACATTTTGTGACAAATTTGCTTTCAAAATTCTTTTTTAAAATATTTTTATCAAACAAAGCCAAAACAAGGAATACTATTTCAAAAATTACAATAAATGGGTTGAATTCTTGGAATCAAAAAACAGTTACAAAAGATTCAAATCAAAATAATTTAGAAATTCAATAACAAATTTCAATCAGATTCAGAATTTTTTTGAGTTCTCATTTTAATTGAAAATAAATAATTATAAAATCAAACGAATTTGTCCAATAAACCCTTATTCTCAAGAAGAATTAAAAAATATCTGATTTTCTGAACCCAAACCAGAATTAGATGACATAAATGAAAATAGGATTTTTAAATTCATTTTGGAAATTCTTTCGAAATAAACGGTAATTTGTTTATCAAAAATTTTCAAAATAAAATTTTTTTATACAGAATTAAAAATAAAACCAAATAAAGAATAAGTAATTGTGTAAAATGTTATAGATAAGATCAAGTAATAAATGATTTTTATTTATTTTTTTTTGATCAATTTTTTCATTTTTTTGATTTCCGTTTTTTTGTTGGTTTGAAAATATCTTATACTAGAATATATTCCACTCTAGTATTTATGAAAATATCAATGTATTTGACTAAAGAAATGATTTGAATAATTAAGTTTCACATAAATGGTGGCACTCAAAAAATGAAAAATGTACTTACCCCCTTAACATTAATAATCAAAGTTTAAAATTTACGATCTTTACCAAGTAACAAAATTCAGACAAAAGAGAAAAATAAAAAAAAAAAAATGGAAAAGAAAAAGAAATAAAAAGAGCAAGAAAAAGAAAAAGAAAAATAAAAAAATAAAACAAAATTTTCAATTTTTTAATAATTTCCTTTATTTCTTATATCTTTCAAAATTTTCGTTTAAAAAAAAAAAAAAAAAAAAATAGATGGGAAGAAAAAAACCACCAAAATTAAAACTGTTTAATATTCAAAAAGAAGATCTTGCAGAAAGATATTCATTAGACGAGAAAAGTGCAAAATTCTTCTTTAATATCTTTTCTCAACAAGGAAGAAAAAAAATCAGGTTCAGAGATGTTGGCGAATTAAGAGATGGATCCAAACAAGACAAAATTCAAATTATTACAAAATATCTTTTCCCTGGATGGGACGAGAATAATTCTGGTGCTTTGAGTGAAAAGGAGCTGATCACTTGCTTAAAAACAGCAGCATACGTAACAAATACTGTTTATTTACAAGAGTGGGTTCAATTATCCGTAAA